AAAGCATGCTGCATGCAAATATAGAAAATAGATTTTTATTAAGTAATCATTGGTACACTCTTATTGACTTTTTTTTTTTTTTTTTTTTTTTTTTTTAAAAAAAAAACACACTGCAAAAAAAAGAAGCTCCACTTGCATATTTTCGATTTCAACTTCCCTAACGTGAAGACTACTTTCTAGGTCCACACTATTAGGACTCATTCACATGGGTGACAGTTCTTGCCAACCCTCTGAAAAAGTATTTCTGCAGTGGATTGCTTTTTCAGAAAGTGGCAGAGCAGCTGTTACCAAGCATTCAAGAACGCCACCACCTTTTTAACAGCTGAAACAGCAATTTACCACACCAGAGCCACATGTCAAGCATTTGGCTGGCAGTTGTGGTGTGGACCCATTTAGCTAAATGGGTCATGTTTGGTCTCTGCTGTCGCATCCATGAAAAAAAGCAACCCTCAGTGGCCAGTAAAACCATGGCTCAACCTCCTTTTCATCGCCACCTATATGAATGAAACCTTACAGTAAAAAAGTACACTATTACAAAGAGAGGTTAAGGTGAACATATAAAAAAAGGTTAGTAATAGAAACTTCCATATTCCTATTTTAAGAATTAGCTGGCTTCAACTATTTGGCGAGTCATTGGCAGGAAACACGTATGCAGTTGAGATGTCGATATAACTGGGTCAGTGCAATGAAAGACACAAGATGAACATGACTGCCAGAGCACACACTGCCTGGAGTACCATGTAGGACACTAACTTTTTACAACTGGGTTATATGCAGCTGGCAAAACAGATACATAGAGTGTTGGACAAGACAGCAAACAATGCCAATTCCAAGCAGGAAAACCCTTGCGTGAGTCATTAAAGTGTTGTAATGGCTATTTTTTATTTAAAATAAAATTACTTACCTGCTCTGTGCAATGATACTGCATAGGGCAGCCCCTTACCTCCTATTCTGGAGTCCCTCTCCAGTGCTGTCTGCTACTCCTTTCCTGCAGGTGCCCCGTTAGCAAGTTGTGAACTAAGGAGGCGCCCTTGCGGGCAGCCTCCTGAGCCAGGCTGTGTGCATCCATAGACACAAAGCCATCCCCACAGGATTTGAATGGCAGGAGTCTCCTGTAAGACTAAGGGAAAGCAGCAGTGCTGAAGACAAGGACATCGCTGGATTGAGAGAGAGGGGACTCAGGCAAGTATTTAGTGGGTGGGGTGGGGGAAACAGTTTTTGGAAGGTTTTTTTTACCTTAATGCAGAGAATGCACAAGGTAAAAAACCTTTTGAGCTTATAAACACTTTAAGCCGTATAAAGAGGGAATCAGATTTCTAAAAAGAAGCAGTAGTAGAGAAGTAAACTCATAGCCTACATGCAGGCAGTGCAGCGCAAGCACCTTAGGATGCCTAAAAGCAGGACAAAAGAAGAAGGAAGGACAACATCCTGGTTAAGATTGAAGGCAGAGATCCGCTTCAGGGAATAAGGAGGCCCTAAATTTGAAGAGCACTTGTCTGTGCAACATCACAAATGGTGCGTTAATGGTAAGGTTGTCAAATTTAGAGACTCTTCTCACAGACATAATAGCAACAAGAAAGGCCAACTTGTATCAAAGGTTTGACAGCAGAAAAGTACTAGATAAGTTCAAAAGGCAGTTTCTGCAGAGCCCAGAACAAGGCTGGAAGTAGAAGAGGATACATGGGGCATACCCTAGCAGATTTTTTTTTGCCAGTTTCCAATGACCTGATGGCAGCTGCATATAACCCAGTTGCACAGACTAAGAAAACTGTGTCCCATACTGTATAATTAGGAGAAATGGGGTTCTGCTGTTGTCGACTCTTTATTATAACACTGAAACCAATAGATTTCAGAAGTAGTAAATAGAAATAAACAAGTGACTCAGCCTATCAGGGATTCCAAGATACAAAACCAGTAATGCGTGTTCTTTTGCACCTTCATTGTGTTCCAATATGAAACTTTTTTAGAGACAATTGTTAGCAGAAAGGTTGTGTCCCATGTATGTAGGCACAGTCTTAATGCATGTAAAACACATTTAACAGATTTTTTATGATCCTGGCTTTATAAACACCTGGTGCCTTTATTTCTGGGTAATATTGATAAAATGGGAATTTACTGCTTCAGAACCAGTGTACAGCCCTGGAATCCAAAAACTGATACAGAGAAGACCTGCTTTGTGATACTTCTATAAACCAGACCTTTCAATTTTTTTTTTTTTGGACCCTCAGCCTCCAATCAGATGTAAACCTATACTGTAAAACAAAGTTTAAAAATCTTACTGGTGGCAATGGTAACTATAGATTTCTTTTACTGAAACTAGGGCTACTATAAAATCACCTTAAGACATTTAATCTCTGCAAGAAATATCCTGTCACTTAGCTGTGCTAATTACAAATTTACAAGACTTTCTCCCCAGCAATTTCAACCATCAAATGAAAGTACAGGATTGGTCTAATGGAATGAAAAGTACACATAATTAAGGCAAGCAATAAACATGAATAAAGCATCCAAATGAAGCAATACACAAGTACTGGGGACTGTTCAGCACAAAACAAATGAACAATGGTAAGAAATGTACACTGTGTTAAAGATTGGGCAGTGCTGAGCTATCACTGTGGTCTGTAATTACAGCTTGCAGGTGAGAACTATAAAGTACAGGTAAATTTAGAAGCCTTTTCATTTCATGGCTTGCTTAGAAGTGAGGCTGTGTGTCCAGTCATTGTTAAAGGAATCATTTAAAAGAAATAAAGGAAAAAAAAACGTATGATGTAAAAAAAAAAAAAAAAAAAATGGAGCGGAGTCTGTCAGCTGTGTTTACATGCTCCATCAAACAACATGCACTAAAAGAGAGACCCGATATCTGAACTCTGATACTGAAAGTTCATTTGAATGGAATATACGGTGAGAGCACTGTTGCTAAGGAACAATTCTGAGGTTGGAAGAGATGTTTAGCCATGACATACATCTCATAAAAAAATAAATCAACTTAAACCAGATTTACACATACAATTGCACACCGAGTTGAAGAATGTGATGGACAGTCTTCAATGTCGAGTTTATTAACCATTGAAGACCAGACTGTTTTCACCTGTCCAATCCAGGTCATCTTTCAGTGCTGACATTTTTAGTCACAATTAGTCATGACACAATTAGTCGTCATGCACACTGGATGTTTTTACAGCTGCTGTCTTTGGCTTTTGATGTTTTTTCTACAGCCAGTAAACTCTCCATGTCAGGGCTCTGGGTATGACCAGAGGTGTGTGGGACTGACACAGGGAAACGCAGGCTTCAGATATGGTATAGACAATATGATTTATTAAGACTAACAATACAAAACGCAGTGCAAAACTAAACATAAACACAGTGCAAACAAACCAAAGCAAACCACCTACAGATAATACATACAATGCAAGAGTCGTCAGGCAGGCCGGGTCAGTAGCAAATGGAGTACCAGGAACAGGCGGGAGAGTGGTCGGGGTCACAAGCTGGGTTCAGTAACTCACGGGCAGCGCGGTGCAGAGGGTCAGGCAGAGAATGGTCAGGGTCACAAGCCAGGGATCAAACAGGAGAAGTCAGCAGAGGTCAGGATCAGGCAGGGTCGGCAACAAGTCAGGCAGGAACAGGAACACAGGATACAAGATACAGGGGCCCATGGAAAAATACACACCAAGGCCCTGACTGTGAGTCTGGCCATTCCTTAAATACAACCCCTGCAATCAGCTTCAGGTGTTTGGCTGACTGCAGGGGTGAGTCTCTGATTGCTGAGAGCACCCGCTGGCCAGCCCTGGTACTGCAGCCCACAAGGCAGGCGAGTCCCACCATTACTGGCAAGTCCATTCCTGACAGTACCCCCCCTCAAGGAGCGGCCTCAAGATGCTCCAAACAGTCCTAGCTGGGCAAAATGTTCCACCGCCCGGGTCTGGCAGGATATCAAAGACTGGCACATCGGGCTGGACGTCGGACAGAGGCACATCAGGCCACCAGGCGGAGTCCAGTCATCTGGGCAGACCGCGGGCTCCGGGTCATCTGGCACCACCGCGGGCTCCGGGTCATCTGGCACCACCGCGGGCTCCGGGTCATCTGGCACCACCGCGGGCTCCGGGTCATCTGGCACCACCGCGGGCTCCGGGTCATCTGGCACCACCGCGGGCACCGGGTCATCTGGCACCACCGCGGGCACCGGGTCATCTGGCTCGACCGCGGGCACCGGGTCAACTGGCTCGACCGCGGGGCTCCGGGTCAACTGGCTCGACCGCGGGCTCCGGGTCATCTGGCTCGACCGCGGGCACCGGGTCATCTGGCTCGAGCGGGCACCGGGTCATCTGGCTCGACCGCGGGCACCGGGTCATCTGGCTCGAGCGCGGGCACCGGGTCATCTGGCTCGACGGCGGGCCGGGTCACCAGGCACGACGGCGGGCAGCGGGTCGCCAGGCACACGGCGGGCACGGGTCACCAGCGGGCTCCGAGTCACCTGGCACGACCGCGGGCATCAGGTCAGTCATCTGGCTCGACAGCGGTCACCAGGTCATCTGGCTCGACAGCGGGCACCGAGTCATCTGGCACGACCGCGGGCTCCGAGTCATCTGGCACGACCGCGGGCGAGTCACCTGGCACGACCGCGAGTCACCGCGGGCTCCGGTCACGGACCGCGGGCTCCGAGTCATCTGGCACGACCGCGGGCTCCGAGTCACCTGGCACGACCGCGGGCTCCGAGTCACCTGGCACGACCGCGGGCTCCGAGTCATCTGGCACGACCGCGGGCTCCGAGTCATCTGGCACGACCGCGGGCTCCGAGTCATCTGGCACGACCGCGGGCTCCGAGTCATCTGGCACGACCGCGGGCTCCGAGTCACCTGGCACGACCGCGGGCTCCGAGTCATCTGGCACGACCGCGGGCTCCGAGTCATCTGGCACGACCGCGGGCTCCGAGTCATCTGGCACGACCGCGGGCTCCGAGTCATCTGGCACGACCGCGGGCTCCGAGTCATCTGGCACGACCGCGGGCTCCGAGTCACCTGGCACGACCGCGGCTCCGAGTCACCTGGCACGACGCGGGCTCCGAGTCATCTGGCACGACCGCGGGCTCCGAGTCATCTGGCACGACCGCGGGCTCCGAGTCATCTGGCACGACCGCGGGCTCCGAGTCATCTGGCACGACCGCGGGCTCCGAGTCATCTGGCACGACCGCGCGGGCTCCGAGTCATCTGGCACGACCGCGGGCTCCGAGTCATCTGGCACGACCGCGGGCTCCGAGTCATCTGGCACGACCGCGGGCTCCGAGTCATCTGGCACGACCGCGGGCTCCGAGTCATCTGGCACGACCGCGGGCTCTGAGTCAACTGGCACGACAGCGGGCATCGGGTCACCAGGCATCAGGTCAACTGGCACGACAGCGGGCATCGGGTCACCAGGCATCAGGTCATCTGGCTCAACAGCGGGCACCGAGTCATCTGACAAGGCAGTGGGCACAGAGTCACCACGCATGACAGCTGGCACTAAGTCAACTGGCACAACAGCGGGCATCGGGTCACCAGACATGACAGCGGGCACTGGGTCATCAGGCATTGGATCGTCTGGCTCGACAGCGGGCATCGGTTCACCAGGCATGACAGCGGGCACTGGGTCATCAGATCATCTGGCTTGGCAGCGGGCATCGGGTCACCAGGCATGACAGCGGGCACTGGGTCATCAGGCATTGGATCGTCTGGCTCGACAGCGGGCATCGGGTCACCAGGCATCAGGTCATCTGGCTCGACAGCGGGCACCGAGTCATCTGACAAGGCAGTGGGCACCGAGTCACCACGCATGACAGCTGGCACTAAGTCAACTGGCACAACAGCGGGCATCGGGTCACCAGACATGACAGCGGGCACTGGGTCATCAGGCATTGGATCGTCTGGCTCGACAGCGGGCATCGGTTCACCAGGCATGACAGCGGGCACTGGGTCATCAGATCATCTGGCTTGGCAGCGGGCATCGGGTCACCAGGCATGACAGCGGGCACTGGGTCATCAGGCATTGGATCGTCTGGCTCGACAGCGGGCATCGGGTCACCAGGCATCAGGTCATCTGGCTCGACAGCGGGCACCGAGTCGCCTGGCATGATAGGATCATTAGGCTGGATCAGTACATCAGGCTGGGTAGAGACATCAGGCTGAATTGCGGGTGCCGAGGCACCAGGCTGAACCACGGAAGGCGGGTTCTCAGACGGCAGGCTGACCGGTTTGGATACTGGCAGGATGGTACTGGTTGGAAAGAATTTTCGCTTTTTTCTGGTTTTAGTTACTGGAGCACTGTAAGTAAACGCAGGTCTGTAAACGAATGGAGCAGCTAAAGACAGAGAAGAGCTGGAGGATGGAACAGAGGAGGGAGCAGTTGCTACAGAGGACTTCTTTACAGGGTTAAAGAAAGGGTGGGAGCAGGGGACTGGTATGTGGTAGTTAGAGTATACTGGGCCATCACTGGGGGTGCTGTCGGGGATGCAGGAAGAGCAGCTTGAGCAGAGGAATGATGCTGCAAGCTGACTGAGGCAGGGTGCAACTAATCTGTCCATGTCTGCAGTACTGGTTGAACAAAAACTCAGCTTACACATAGCCTGTCTGATCAAAGACTGCACTGCGTTTATGCAATCCATAAGCACATGTGATGGACAAGCTGCATAATGCTCATGGAAGCAATCTGGATCATCCTCCAACAACCATACTAGTGATTCCACTTGATCCACACTAACTGGGGGGAAAAAAAAAAGTCATTCCTGCTTTCAGGGGTACAGGACCGAGCCAACTCAGCACAAACCTGGATCAATGGATGCACCTCAGAAAACTCTGTGCCCTGATCTACTAGGCAATGAGCGATCCTTATACACTCTAGTAGTTGATCCCTGGGATACTCCTTCAGAGTCTGATAAGGATAGTCTTTGTCATCAAACACTAGCAGAGATAAATACACCACCTCATCAAGATGCATCCTTCCCAGCAACAATAAGCCAAGATGGCTTCCCTGTGCAGCCACTTCTGGTCAGGATTGGCCTTGGTGTAATGTCAGGGCTCCAGGTATGACCAGAGGTGTGTGGACTGACACAGGGAAACGCAGGCTTCAGATATGGTATAAACAATGATTTATTAAGACTAACAATACAAAAACACAGTGCAAAACTAAACAAACAGTGCAAACAAACCAAAGCAAACCACCTACAGATAACAATACATACAATGCAAGAGTCGTCAGGCAGGCCGGGTCAGTAGCAAATGGGCAAACGGAGTACCAGGAACAGGCGGGAGAGTGGTCGGGGTCACAAGCTGGGTTCAGTAACTCACGGGCAGTGCGGTGCAGAGGGTCAGGCAGAGAATGGTCAGGGTCACAAGCCAGGGATCAAACAGGAGAAGTCAGCAGAGGTCAGGATCAGGCAGGGTCGGCAACAAGTCAGGCAGGAACAAGAACAGGAACACAGGATACAAGATACAGGGGCCCATGGAAAAACACACACACAAGGCCCTGACTGAGTCTGGCCATTCCTTAAATACAACTCCTGCAATCAGCTTCAGGTGTTTGGCTGACTGCAGGGGTGAGTCTCTGATTGCTGAGCACCCGCTGGCCAGCCCTGGTACTACAGCCCACAAGGCAGGTGAGTCCCACCATTATTGGCAAGTCCATTCCAGCAGGTTATCCTATGTGTTCATACACACAAAAAACTGGAATCAATGTATTTTTGCAGAGGCGTTTCTTGGCTCTAAAAAAAACCCCAAGAACTAATGGGTTTATAGAGGAGTTTTATAGCTGTAAAAACGCTCTAACGCTGAAAAACAAAGCAAAACGCGGTAAACCAGCGATTTTGGACTTTTGTTGGTTAAAAAAAAAAGCTTTTAAAATGTGACTTTACAAAGTTAATGTTACCAGCGCTATCAAAAACGCACAGTGTGCATGGAGTCTTAGTCATGCAACAATTGACTAAAAATTTGTTTTTGGCAAATCTAGTTTTCTTTTGGTGGTATATATACACATATACATACATACATACATACACACACACACATACACACGAAAAATTATTCATACCCCCGGCAGCCTTAGTGGCTGTTGGCTTGTAATTTTCAATGAACTACCATGGCGCTATGGAACGTCGTTGTAATTCATTGAAGCTTCCTGTCGTACATACGGTACAACAAACAAATATTCTGACATGTCTGCAGGAGACTTGCATGGCATCAGCGATCTACTGATCGCTGGTGCAATGCTTTCCAGGCACCTGCAGACAAAAATAAACGCTTTTTTTGTGCATTTATTATTTTTGTCAAAAAGGTTAACTTATCCTTTAATTTCTGAATTTGTTTTGGTTTCTTTGTATGTATGGATTGCATGGGTTGTTACAGAAGTGGTGATACTTTCATGTCAATAGCTCCCTTAGAAATGTATTTGCTGAGATGGCGATGTGCTTTATACTTAATTTAACCGCTGAGTGTGTGTTAAATTAAGCTGCTTGCCTATTGCAGGTTCAGTCTTCCCAGCCTGGTGCAGGTCTACAATTTTGTTTCTGGTGTCCTTCGACAGCCCTTTGGTCTTCACCATAGTGGAGTTTGGAGTGTGACTGTTTGAGGTTGTGGACAGGTGTCTTTTATACTGATAACAAGTTCAAACAGGTGCCATTGATACAGGTAATGAGTGCAGGACAGAGGAGCCTCTTAAAGAAGAAGGTACAGGTCTGTGAGAGCCAAAAATCTTGCTTGTTTGTAGGTGACCAAATACTTATTTTCCACCATAATTTGCAAATAAATTATTTCCAAATCAGCCAATGTGATTGTCTGGATTTGTTTTCTCATTTTGTCTCTCATAGTTGAGGTCTACCTATGATGCCAATTACAGGCCTCTCTCATCTTTTTAAGTGGGAGAACTTGCACAATTGGTGGCTGACTAAATACTTTTTTGCCCCACTGTACAGTGAAGGAAATATGTATTTGATTCCCTGCTGATTTTGAATGTTTGCCCCTCACAAAAAAATGATCAGTCTAAAAATCGAATGGTAGGTGTATTGTAACACAGAGACAGAATAGCAACAAAACATTCAAAAGAAATGCATGTCTAGCAAATTATGCACGGATTTGCATGTTCATGAGGGAAATAAGTATTTGATCCATTATCATTCAGCAAGATTTCTGGCTACCAGGTGTCTTTCATACAGGTAACAAGCTGAGATTAGAAGCAGTCTCCTAAAGGGAGTGCTACTAATCTCACTTTGTTACCTGTATAAAAGACACCTGTCCACAGGAGCAATCAAACAATCAGATTCCAAACTTTCCAACATGGCAAAAACCAAAGAGCTGTCCAAGGATGCAAGGGACAAGATTATAGACCTACACAAGGCTGGACTGGGCTGCCAAACTATCGCCACGCAGCTTGGTGAGAAGGTGACAACAGTTGGTGCAATCATTTGCAAATGGAAGAAACCAAAAACAACTTTCAGTCTCCCTAGGTCTGGTGCACCATGCAAGATCTCACCTTGTGGAGTGTCAAGGATCATGAGAACAGTGAGGAATCATCCCAGAACTACACAAGGATCTTGTCAATGATCTCCAGGCAGCTGAGACCACAGTCACTACAACAATTGGTAACACACTACACAGACAAGGATTGAAATCCTGCAGTACCCGCAATGCCCCTCTGCTCAAGAAAGCACATGTCCAGGCCTGTCTGAAGCTTGCCACTGAACATCTGAATGATGCAGAGGACGACTGGTTGAAGGTGTTGTAGTCAGATGAGACCAAAATTAAGCTCTCTGGCATCAACTCAACTTGCCGTGTTTGGAAAAGGAGGAATTATGCCTATGACCTAAAGAACACCATCCCAGCTGTCAAAACATGGTGGTGGAAACATTCTGCTTTGGGGGTGTTTTTCTGCTAAGAGAATAGGACAACTTCACTGCATCAAAGGGACAATGGACGGGGCAATGTACCTTCAAATCTTGGGTGAGAACCTTCTTCCTTCAGCCAGGGCATTGAAAATGGGTCGTGGATGGGTGTTCCAGCATGACAATGACCCAAAACACATGGCCAAGGCAACAAAAGGAGTGGCTCAAGAAGAAGCACATTAAGGTCCTGGAGTGGCCTAGCCAGTCTCCATACCTTAATCTGTGGAGGGAGCTGAAAGTTCAAGTTGCCAAACGTCAGCCACCAAACATTAATGACTTGGAGAGGATCTGCCAAGAGGAGTGGGCCAAAATCCCTCCTGAGATGTGTGCAAACCTGGTGGCCAAATACAGGAAACGTCTGACCTCTGTGATTGCCAACAAGAGATTTGCCACCAAGTACTAAGTCATGTTTTGTGAAGGGGATCAAATACTTATTTCCCTCATGAGCATGCAAATCAGTACTTAATTTGTTAGACATGCATTTCTTTTGAATTTTTTGTTGCTATTCTGTCTCTCAGTGTTACAATACACCTACCAATTAATTTTTAGACTGATCATTTCTTTGTGAGCCGGCAAACGGTCAAAATCAGCAGGGGATGAAATACTTATTTCCCTCACTAATTTATATATATATATATATATATATATATATATATATATATATATATATATATACACATATACACACATACATACATACATACATATATATATATATATATATATATATATATATATATATATATATATATATATATATATATATATATACATATATATACACATACACACACACACACACACACACTTACTTAGGTCCATATATATTTGGACACAGGCACACTTAGTTTTTTTCAGGTATTTACCAAAACATATTCAACTGTAGTTATATAATGGCTGAAAGTGCACTCTCCGGTTTCATTTGAGGGTATGTACATCCAAATTGGAGCAACGGTTTAGGAATTACAGCTCTTAAGAGTAGCCATCCCCCCTTTTTTCAAGGGACCAAATGTAATTGGACAGTTGAATCAAAAGCTGTTTTATGGCCAGGTGTGGGCTACCCCATTATTTCTTCATCAATTAAGCAGGTAAATGGACTGTAGTTGATTCTAAAGTGTGCTATTTGCATTTGGAATATATTGCTGTGAACCTACATCATGCGTTCAAAGGATCTGTCCATGCAAGTGAAACAGGCCATTGTAAGGCTTCAAAAATGAAACAAATCCATCAGAAAAATAGCAGCAACATTAGGAGTGGCCAAATCAACAATTTGGTACATTTTGGGGAAAGAACAAATCACTGGTGAGCTCAGCAACATAAAAAGGCGTGGACGTCCATGGAAGACAACAGTGGTGGATGATTGCAGGATCCTCTCTATGGTAAAGAAAAACCCATTCACAACATCCACAAAAGTGAAGGACACTCTCCAGGAGGTGGGCGTATCATTGTCAAAGTCTACAATCAAGAGAAGACTTCACGAGAGCAAATACAGAGGGTTCGCCACAAGGTGCAAACCATTCATAAGCCTG